GACTGTTCTATTCTATTCTAACAATACAATAGAGTGGAGTAGAGTTGTATGCAAAAACCCGAAAGCGAGTTAGCATTTTAGCAGTTCCGGTTCCCTCGTCCCAAAGTCAAAGGGTTTTTTGAATGGGGTTTCAGTTAAATCGCTTGAATAAGGTTTGTGGCAAACAAACTCAAGATACTTTCACGTTTTACTCTATGACAGTTACATCACACTCTTGATTTTTTAATCGGTTATGCTTCTTAAAAAAGCTGGTTGCTATCAAGTTGCTAAATGGGACTACAGGCAGTGTCGGAGACATTTTACGTCATCGAGTTGATCAGGTCTGGACTGGAGCGCAACTCGCTGGAGTTGGGCATTTGGATTTGTCTGTTATTTAAGTATTTTCATAAATAGTATTTCATAGTTTGTTCATAATTGGGAAATAATATTGTGTTTAGATAATTCCTACACATGTAAAGGCTGTCGAGACGGATTAATTTGTTGATCATGTATTTTAATTAATATAATGAAGATACTGCTTACGAGTGCACCCTGTCTCTCTCTTGCTCTCAGTGATGCAAACATGTGAAAAAATGTGTAAAAATACACACATATTAACGTAATTTTAACGTGATCAAGTGAATTTTCGTCGGGTTTTTCTTCATCTGAAGACATTTAACTATGTCATAACTGCAATATTTACACTCCTCTATAAAATCTAGCAGATGTGACTATATGGGCTGTTTTTCGGGACATAAAAGAATATTTAATGTTGTTCTCGATCCAAGATGAAACTTGCAGGCATTTGATAGACTTGTCCCTCACGGCTCATTTCTGTCGTCTGTTAAGGTAAGGGGTGACGTAGTGGCGCAGTAGGTAGTGCTGTCGCCTCACAGCAAGAAGGTCGCTGGTTCGAACCTCGGCTCAGTTTGCATGTTCTCCCTGCATTCGCGTGGGTTTCCTCCAGGTGCTCCGGTTTCCCCCGCAGTCCAAAGACATGCGTTACAGGTGAATTGGGTAGGCTAAATTGTCCATAGTGTGTGTGGATGTTTCCCAGAGATGGGTTGCGGCTGGAAGGGCATCCGCTGCGTAAAAACCTGCTGGATAAGTTGGTGGCTCATTCCGCTGTGGTGACCCTGGATTAATAAAGGGATTAAGCCGACAAAAAAATGAATGAATCAATGTTAAGGTAAGCAGGCTGTGTGCACGCGAGCGATAACGTTACACTTATTTAAATGTCTTATGCTATGTAGGCACATTTATACATATAGTTTTTAAAACTTTTACAATGACCGTAAAGCAAAAAAGATGTATTTCCCACGTAAAAACAATCAAAAAGGCATGTAGGTCTATGTGTTTTTGCGTATTTATTTGCTTATAATATATAGCGTGGATTACAATATAATAAACAGAGAGATTAACTCTTTGTCATGGACAATATTTCTAAAAAAATAAGCTTGAAGAGTCGTCTATAGCAGGGTGGTGCTGACATCACAGGCGAGCGCCCCGAGGGCACTGTAGTCCGTTTATAGCCTAATGTTAGCTTTTCAGTTCTTGCATTTGCATTTAGGATCCAAAAGTGCTCAAATTTGTATTTTCGTGTGAGGATTATCCGGCTGGACAAAACGTGTAAGTGTAATGAACAGTGTTTCATCACAGAGCTTATTATTTGCAATCTTCCAAAAGCCTATGGAAAAATCCTATAGGGATTTTATCGAGGGAACCAGTTTTATGCTGGCAGCCGATTAGCCCACAAAGTGACGTAATCTAATAGAAGTAAATTCTGAAAGAGGGTAGCACAGTGGCTCAGGGGTTGGAATTGTCGTCTCACAGCAAGAAGGTTACTTTCGAGTGCCATCTGGGTCACTTAATTACCATGTCCAGGAATGCATCTGGACTTCCTTTTAGGATACTTCTCAAGTATATTAATAAGTGCAACAAATATTAACTTAATGTGTCCAATAGAATGTTTTTAGCATGAGACGCTTTAGTTATCATGGTCTGAATTCCACAGCAGTGACATACCTGTAGCATCTCATTTTGAAGAATATTATTGAATATAACTAAGTAATGTAAATATTTAATATATAATATTTAATTTATAATTTTAATTTTAGGGCAAAACGGTGACTCTGGTTAGCTCTGTCACCTCACAGCAAGAAGGTCGTTATTCAAGTTTTGGCTAGGCTAGTTGGCATTTCTGTCTGGCGTTTGCATGTTCTCCCTGTGTTCTCATGAGTTTCCTCCGGGTGCACCTGTTTCTTGTTGGCATTCGCTATAGGTGAATTGGATTAACTAATATTGGCCATAATGTAAGAGTGTATGGGTGTTTCCCGATACTGGATTGCAGCTGAAAGGCCAACTGCTGAACCTATGATGGAATAGTTGGCATTCAGTTTGGTGACCATTACGTAAGGGACTGAGCCGAAGGAAAATGTACAAATGAATATTAATCGAAAAAACATTAATAATATACAAATAACAATCAAATTATTATAATGTAATATTAGATTTACCTTTGCTGTTTATTCATTGTAAAACAGAAGATGTTGTATGTTCCATGCCACAGCCACAATATAAATACGAAAGATAATTCAGACAGTTTATCTCACAATTCTGAATTGAGTACATCTTTCAGTTATAACTTTATAACACATAATTGTGACTGCAATTTTATTTCATTGAATTCAAAAGCTGTTCTGGCAAGGGTTAGTAGTAAATCTAAGAACTCACTTAGGAACAAGCAAAGACAAGTTCAAATAAAACATTTATGAGAAAAAGGTAAAAATTGAGAAATATAAACACAATTGATAAAAAAAAGTCAGAATTAAGATTTGAAACAAAAAAAGTAATTATGACAGTGCTGCGCATGTGATTCAATATAGCTTCATAAAATCACAGAGAAAATGACTTAAAATATTTGTCTGATATCTTTCACAACACACGTCCTTATAGTGACCTTATGTCTTATGTCTCAGTAGCTTAAATAAAGGAGTTACGTTACAGCAACACCGTGTAATTCTGAAATGTAAGTGTAAAAGAAAGAATATAGACTGCAGCATAAATTTGAGAAAAGGTTTGAGGTTGGCCACTCTGATATACAAGCACTTCATGAGCACATGTGGCCACAGCGAAAGCCTTTTCTCAGTTTACAATCAATAAACGTTGTGTGATAGCAGTAGAGGAGGACTGTTCAGGGAGAAAAGAAAGAAACCAGACTATTTTCTCCTCCATTTGCCAATGAATCAATAAATACACGTCGGCTTCACCATTGTGTGGACCACACAAATATTTTCCACAGGTCACAGTGGGAGTGCTTTAGATTGATATCACACAACCATCTCCACTATTGTTCCATTACACTCTATTACATTGTTTAGTATCTCGTATTAGCTGATATAGGCATTTTATTTTTATTTTTTTGCTTTAAATCATGCAATATTGTATTATCTGCATATATGGAATTTACAGCTATATTTTTCATATTAAGATAAACGGTTTAAAACTGTGTATACATTAAAGATAACTGTTGAAACTAAACAGTGCTGTGTAATAGACATATACAAATCTCTTGTTATACCTTTTCTTAACTGTTTGGGCTGCTGGAACATATCTTGCTGACACACTTGTAAGCTAATGAACATTTTACACTTTAATATTAAAGGTCAAGGTCTGAACAAAACATAAAACCCTAGAAAAACGAAAAATAATAACACTTGCCGTGGCAAACAAAGTTAATTTGCGTCCTGTCATGTTTTGTGAAGGATAGCAGACGGACTCGAAGGCGGGAAAAAATGCTAATCATCAGGTTTGCTTTGGACGGTTTTTAAACATAATACACGGCTAAGACGGAATAAGAATATTCTTGCTAAAATAATATTGCTACGTTTGTTAAACGTTTTTATTTTATGTAGTAAAATCTTAAGTAAATGTTTACCAAGACGGAGAAATGCACAATAGTCCTACTAAATAGAACAACGGCGCCATCGGCTGTTCATCTTGTGTATTTGATTCTCACATCACGCCTTTCAATTTGAATATTCCTAGGGATTTTTTACGTTTTTTTTTTTTTTTTTCATCAAACTGATGACCAAGTTATCTAAAAAAAACTGAGATTTAGTTATAGCTTTACTTAATAAAATCTATGGGCTGCTTTTAAATTACTTTTTAGGACTACTTTATAGGCAAAAATTTCAGTTGAAATTACTGAAGAAATGCCAAGTTAAGAAAAAAAAAATCATAAATCAATCCATATTGGTTGTATAACTAATTTCAAATAAAGAAATGAAAGCATTCGTTGTGACTTAAACGTTTTCATTTTTTAGTTTATGGTTATTCAACCCAATATAGATCTTCTGACTTATTTCTTAACATGGCAATTTGTAATTATTTTGTCCAACAGCATTAACTATTTCATATTAGATGTTTGAGTAAAATGTAATATTTACAATTATTTTGATATTATTTATATATATTTTTAAAAATCCAAAAAGTAAATTCAAGATTTGGTAGACTATATTTTTAATTTTAATATCACACCAGGTGAAAACAATTACCATTTTCTTTGATAAAATGTTCTAGAAATTTGGAAGAGAGGTTGAAGACTGTACAATGCTACGAACTTATACAACATTACCATTTTACTCAAATAGATACCAATTTTATACAGATAAACCAATAAAATCTCTTTGACCACTTACACTTATTCCACAAAAATCAAACACTTGCTCATAAAACTCCAATTTAAAGTAAAATACATTAGCAAAAGTGTAAATACTTGTTGGCGGTCTGAGGTGCCCCGAGTTAACCTCTTATATGACCACACATAATTAAAATGGCAGTGACATCTTAAGCAAAAGGATCTTCGTCCCTATTTAAACCCAGATTAGAGCTCCATCCAGCGCAATCCTAAGAGTTCCCAAATATAGTTCAGGAGACCTAAAGAGTGAGATTAGTTAGCAGCTAATGACAAAACCTATAGTAGGTTGCACATGAAAACATGAATGACAAACGCAACAGTGTATGCATAAACATATACATATATTTTATTGGAAAACACTGATACACATTTAACATATTATCCATACAGATTTCACATGTCTAGTATTCTCCGTCCGGCTGCTCAATTTCTAACCCTGCCATCACAAAACCGCCATTATCAGAGTAAGATAAGCAATGTGAAGCTCTTCCATGTGAGTAATACAGTTGGGCTAGAAAAAGAGAAATAAATAACCCAATTATTAGACCAATAACAAGCCCTTCATAGTCTTACTAGCAACATAATTGGAGACGTTGTCTGTTCGCCTCCTCGAAAATCACCCACGGGTTCCACCGTTTATCGTCATCTTGCAAGCAGAGCGCAAATGAAAATTATTCGAAGCACTTGACGAGATTGTGACAAACCCACGAGAGCAAGAGACAAATGAGCCATAAAAGCAGCAGAAGCAGCAGGTTCCTCTTCTGTGGTTTAATGTATAATCTACACCAAAGTGCAAATATATATATATATAGATATAGAGATATTTGTGTGTATATTCATAAATTGATAACATACTTCTTAATTGACAACAAGTTCTCTTGCAACAAAGTTAATGCTTTACGAGAAATTATGGCACGTTTCAAGACCATGGATCAAACAAAAGTCACAGACCTAACTAGAACAATAGGCGATGCAAAGCTTACCAAACGTTAATATTGGAGAACGGTACATTTTGAAAGCATAACACTGAGCGCATTGTGATTATCTATGCAACTATGTATTTATACAGTAATGCTATTCCGTCACGTTTCCATTCTGCTGTACACACTTTGCATCTCGACGCTCCCACAAAGTTTAAAGTCATCAGACCACATTAAAATAAAGGTTTAAGCCAGCCAACAGAAACCACTGGCAACCAAGTACATGCCTTATAGCCCATAAAGACACTCTCTAAGTCGTACGTCGCCATTTTACAGAGTATGAGTATGACGTCAGGTTTTTACAATATGTACGTCTTCAGAAACATCCGGTTTTTGTTCCGTTTGGAGCCCTAAAAAGGAGAAGGCAATACCCGAAAGCATGACTTCACCACAGGGGTCACACGCAATTGTGTTTGCTAACTTTTTATTGAAGGCAGCACAGTGACCCTGGACTATTTACCACAATGTTTTAGCATTATCAAGGTTATAGGTTAATTATTTTAATGTACTCTATTTTTGAGCGATGAAAGAACACTCATGAAAGAAGATGTTCTCTGCGTTTGAAACGCTGCGTGGACTTCAACTCGTGTGCGACTAAAGTTCTGTCCTCAAAATGTTTGTCAGGTCTGGAGACGTTTGCTCCAAAAGGGCTCATGCAGTTATGCTTGGTCCATTCACTTCTGCTGGGACGATTCTACTAGTATTTTTCCACAAATTGTTTCTAAAATTTAATATACGTTTGTTTTTGTTTTTTTTTTTTTTGGTAAGAGATCAGAGAATTTGACATTCTAATAACTCTCTGAAGTAAACTTTAGATTTTTTTTCTTTTTAAAGACAGAGTGATCTTAGTAGGACAAGCAATGTAAGAGAGAAAGAGAGATACAGAATAAGACAATTCTTCACTTTGCAGTCATCATTTGGACAAACTCTGTAAAGAGAGAAAGACATAATAGATAAGTCACAATAAACAGATGAGAAATTTAAAAAAAATCCCATTTTGATACCTTTATACATTCACTGAGGAATGTACCGGACAGTACTGTTATCGATTTTAAGCAGCAATTGCACAATTCTGCTAGCCCTATTTTTTTTTCCACTTGGTTTCAAGTAGGCTCACACAAATCCTGGGACAGAAATTCGCACAGAACTAACAGATGGTTGACTCTGTCATCCCATCTATTTACTTGTATTCTTATTATATTCTTGCTATTATTTATATTTATATAAAAGTAAGTAAGGGCTGAACAATATATTGTTTGAGCATCAATAACGCAATGTGCATATCCACAATAATCACATTGCAGAATTAGATAAATATATTATTATATAAAATCGTTTATACAATGATGACCACGTTATTTGTACGTTTGATTGTTCAATTTCTATATTTGAGTCCCCATGAAACCATAAAGTGCATTGTCACTTTTGTCTTTGCTGTCGTATTTATATATGCTTATATTTTATTATATTTTATGCAGATGCACTAAATGGAAAAATATTTGATCACCCCAATCGATCTAAAACAATGAGATCTTTTCAAATAGAGCTATTCAAATTATCTGCTGAAATTATATTTATATCAAAATATATATTGCAGCAATGTCAGAATTTTCAGCTTTTTCAGATTTTAGATAGATAGATAGATAGATAGATAGATAGATAGATAGATAGATAGATAGATAGATAGATAGATAGATAGATAGATAGATAGATAGATAGATAGATAGATAGATAGATAGATAGATAGATAGATAGATAGATAGATAGATAGATAGATAGATAGATAGATAGATGTGCATTTGTACGATTTGTAAAGAAGATTTTCTGTCTTTAGATGTCTCATGTAAGAAATACTGTAGTATTGTTTACCAAAGTAGTTCCAACTGATTACATTTTAAACTTCGGTCACACTTTATTTTGATGGTCCGTTTGTTGAATTTAAGTAACATTGTATCTACATGCCAAAAAAATATCATTAGATTATAAGTAGACTGTTAGGTTGGGGTTAGGGTTAGTGCATGTTTACATGTACTTGCTAAGTTTCTTATAGTCAGATCAATGTCTGTTCAGCAGCAACATACATTAAGCAGACAGTCTACTAATACTCAAATGGGCCATCAAAATAAAGTGTTACCTAAACTTTAAATAAAATTATAAGTTTGAAATTAATTATTTGTTAAAAGGATAGTTCACCCACAATTGAAAAGTCGGTCATCATTACCCTTCACTTTATCCAAACCTGTCTTCCTGAGTTTCTTTCTTCTTTGAACACAATGAAAGACGTTTAAAATATGCTGAAATGTGTAACCATTGACTTTAAGACTATGGAGGTTAATGGTTACAGGTTTCAGCATTTTAACTTTTGTGTTCAGCAGAAGAATCACAGAGATTTATAACCACTTGAGGCTGAGTAAATAGTGAATAAATGTTCATTTTTGGGTGAATTATGCTTTTAATGTTTCTGCTCCTATTATCTCAAAATCATTCGGCAGAAATCTGCAGATTTCTTTAAATATTAGACACAGAAATAACAAATCAAATAAAAAGCTGGGTTAATTTAACTAATCAAGGTATCCAAGAATCACTCAAACACAGCTTACAAACAATACATTGAATTTCAAATGTATGGTCACTAAGGCCTAACATCTGATTAAAAGTACAGTAAATAACTAATATGGTAAAACATTATTACAATTTAAAATAGCCACTTTCCATGGCCAGCAAATACAATTTAAATTTATTCTCCTGTTGATGAAAACGAAGTTTCAGCTTCATCACCCTAGTCTTCAATGTGACACGATCAAATATGAATATTTGATGCTAAATAAATATTTATTACTGCAACTATCAATGAGGAAAGCAACTGTGCTGCTTTAGGTTTTAGTGAAAACCAGGAAACATTTTTCAGAATTATTTGATGAATAGACAGAGTTAAAGTTTATTATTTAAAATGTAAAAGATTCAAAATAGCATTGGAAATAAAGATGCAAGCCTGACACTTGCCTAGCAAACGCCACTAATTATCAGGTACAAGTCCCTGCTATTTTTAGACTTTTCACCCTGGCACTGCATTTCATTACACCACCATATTTAAGACCTGATGTGTTGAACATTCAATGCAGGTGTAAAGAATGAATCTCAACACAATTTCTCTAGAGGGCCAATTAAAAACACGAACACCATCTAATCTCACTACTGAAATAAGTACAAAATTGACTCACGTTTGCATGAATGTGACGTTGGTTAAATAATACGAATCAATATCCCTCTCACCTTCATAGTTGACCTGACCGTCTCCATCAATATCCGCCTCTCGGATCATCTCGTCCACTTCCTCATCCGTCAACTTCTCGCCCAGGTTGGTCATGACGTGACGGAGCTCAGCTGCACTGATGTAGCCGTTTCCATCCTAAGAAAGAGAGAATATAAAAAGAAAACTGGCTCAAACCACAAATATCATGAAGCTGATACCTTGCATGAACTAGATAAAAAAAATATAAGATAAAAGCATCTTTTAAAGTCTGGGACACACCAAGCTGATGGCAAATAACTAGTGCTGACATAACTCAACTGTGTTTTACCCTGGTAATTATTAAAAAGTATTTAAAAATACAAATTTTTGCATAAGAAGGGGCAGCAAAGATTGTACTACTTGCAGAAATGACGTTAATTCAATGACTACATTTACATGGATATCAGTAATTGAATTATTTGCTTTCATCTGAATATAATTAAGGCGTTTACATGAGTTGGTTTTTGAATGTTCCTTTCATTACCCCGTTTTACGAGTTATCGCACATCATTCGATTAACGTCATTGCGTCACAACACGAGCCATGTTTACTCTGGAGTTTCATGTAATTTTGGGTGATTTATTTTTAGTTTGGCGACATTAACTGCAGTTTTGCACTTTCACTTTAATTCTGAAACATTTCAGGCACGCCCCACATGACAAACGAGATATTGGATGCATGTATAAACTACTGGAAGAGTGTTGTTTTAATGAAATTTGATAATGCATGTCGTATAAGGAAAAAAAACTCTGCATTATGCAATGCAAGTGTCTGTGGTCCTTTACCGACTCGGTAAACAGCCGTGTGAATAGTCGCAAAACTGGGCGAAGATCCTACACGATTGTGATAGTTTGATCAAGGTGTTTACATGTCTGTACTTCACTTTAATGATGTGACTAAAATAGGTATACTCCACATATCTTATTTCAATTTCTGTTTAGTTCGATTATGAACTTAATCAGATTTACTTATTGTTAAAAATAAAAACAATTTTAAAATGCTGTTAACATGGTAAACTCTTAATCAGAGTATTGGAGTTGGAGGAAATAGGTGTGTGCAGCTGACACAGACTGCCTGTGTTACTGTTCTCTAACACCCACAGCAATGTATGCCTTATTCATCTAATTCAGGGGTGGCCAACCCTGTTCCTGGAGAGCCACCTTCCTGCAGATTTTAGTTGCTAACCATATCAAACACAACTGAACCAATTAATTACGACTTAAACACCACGTGATAATTACAGGCAGGTGTGTTTAATATGGGTTGCAACTGAAATCTGCAGGAAGGTGGCTCTCCAGGAACAGGATTGGCCACCACTGATCTAATCAATTAAACTGATTGAAAAGGCTCTGATGCTCCGATTATTAAAAGGCTCTAATGTTTTAACCTGGGAGGAGTAGGAAAAGTCCAACACCAGTCAGATGATTCCCATCCTATGCACCACGAGTTTTATCTTCTCCCTTCTGTTGTTCGATACAGAATGCTTGTCAGTAAAACGAATCGGTTCAAACTGTTATTCATTACCTCAGCTGTAAAGTTTTTCAATTTAGGGTAGGTTTGTATTGTACAATGTGTTTTGTGTATTATGTGTGATATGCTTGAATGCTGCAACCAAATTGCCATCTGGAAATGAAAAAAAAAAGACTAACTGAACTCATAATCTAATAATCCATATCAACTGCAAATATTTGAGAAATGTACTGAAATTACAGCCGGACTCCTTCGGTTCCTTCTTGACTTAATTTTTTTACTTGCTACATCACTTCACTACTCGTTCAATTTAGCAGCAAAATTTAGCGTTTTTTATTTTAGCTTTTTTTTTTAACATGATGGTAAAACACAAACGCGGTTATGAATATATGAAAACATATGCTTGTTTGCTGTAAAAATTCATATTAATGACAAAAAAATACTAATTTGTGGAGCTCCATACTTCTGGGTGCAGCTGTGGCTGGTGTATTTTACCCCTTAGTTTTGAGTGTGGTCCTGAAAAATCTTCGTTCAAAGGGGTATCTACCCCCTTCCCTTTAGCCCTATACCTTCAAGCTAAAGATTATTGGCACATAGATGCTCTTTTGTGTCTGTTTAAATGCATATGACCATGGCCCAATTCCACCCCTTAGCCCTTAAGCCTGGTTTATACTTCTGTGTCAAGTGACTGGCGTGACCCACGGCGCATGCAACGCGCGTAGCTGTGCATTTATACTTCTGCGTGCTGTCTCTGTTGGTCTGAATAAACACTTCCGAAATGCTAGTGGGCAGTGAGGCGTTAATGTTCCTCTGTGTCGAGTTTCTTCTCTGCAGTTTTGCTTTTCCTGAACACTTCCTGGATGTACACGTGGCTCAAACTCGCTCATTTTGAGGCAGGAACCGGCAGACATGCAACAACTTTAACTATGAGGTAAACACAAAACAAAACTTTCCATCAGGAGCTCCTTCACGGGACTCCACACTTGTAAACATTCGTTCCATTGGGCTTGCGTCCAGCTCGCGCCATTCGCGCGGCTCTCGGTCCCGCCCAGACTCGTCAGCGCTACCAAGCTGACCAATCACAGAGCTTGCGCTACGCTTCGTTGCGACGTGTAGTTACAATTTTTGAGAGGTGCACGTCAGCGACGCCGACGGCCACGGCGAAGGGCTATGCGTCAGCGCCGTAGCATACGCCGGCGTTTGACGCAGAAGTATAAATCAGAAAGTATAAATCATCAAAGGGTAGAATTGGGATTGGGCAATGGTCATATATGCATCCAAATAGACATAAAACAGCATCTACCCTTTGCTTAAATGTGACCATTACGGTAACCCGTGAGTTGTTGCAAAAAAGTGCATCAAAAATAAGGTATTCCTGCTTCACATTGCTGCACTAGAACATAGAAATGATGATGAAAACCGTAGCTGCCATTCACTTGCTTCGCACTTGCTCATAAGCCACATAACACTGACTTGTTTATTTCAAAAGTACTTACTTAGTGTTCCTGCGAAACTGCTGTAGAATGTGTAATCAAAGAAATCTGAACAAAACTGCATTTGCAGTCGGACCACAGCTGATATCCACCAAGCCTATGGTCAGTTGGGCAATGTCAAGCTGTCCGTTGGAGCTCACACGATTCAGATTCAGGCCTCAGGGTCTTTGGTAAGAGAGAGCTCTGATTGGCTGATCAGCTACAAATCAGAGTACAGCACAAATACTGAACTAACGAGACCAATCAAACACCACTAGTCAAGAGGGGAGACAAATAAGCTAGCTGCCATTTCATCACATTTTTTTAAGTATTTATAAACCACATGGATTTTTAGGGTGCTTTCATACTTGTAGATTGCAACAATGGAATGACACAAAAAAAGTACTGAACTACTAAAATGTATTTAATACTTTATTTAAAAGGATTTTTGGTGATGGCAGCTTAAAGATGCCTCTCATATGGAGAAAGAAGTCTTGCATTGCTCAGGTGTTTTTCACAGACTTTAAAGTGTAAAAATCTTGATGGTTCTGGGAGTCCCGTCAGTCAAATCTGATCTTTATTTTGTATCTTCTATTAGATTCAGCTCAGGTGATTGGCTCATTTTCTTTCTCTAAAAGCCTTTAAGAGTTTCCTTGGCTGTGTTCTGGATCATTGTCTTGCTGAAATGTCCACTCTGGTTTCATCTTTATCACCCTGGTAATGTAGATTTTGGACTGAAGCAGATAATATTAATTTGCAATAAGAAAGGACAGAAGGTTGCTGAATAACTACTGAAAGATTTCAGCTGCTGTCTGGGCATTCACTAGCCCTTCTACAACTCCCTTTCTTCATGTGTTCAATACTTTTTTCCTGTGTCATTTCATTTAATTACACAAAACATAATTTGTAAGGGTGTCACGATCCTTCAAATCCTCGATTCGATTACATTTTCGATTCTAAAGGCACGATTCGATTCGATTTTCGATTATGAATAATTAATTAATTAATGACCAATTAATTATTTGTAGCCTACCGTTTAAACTACCTGACCTGCATGGTATTTGTTTTACCCATAAACAAATCATACAGTAAATGAATAAAGGCAAGATACACACATAATTACCACCTGTCAATCACTTTTTCTGCGGGACTCGTGAATAGGCAGAGATCTGTGTCGTTATAATAGCGTCGGTAAAAAAGACGCACAACCAACAGGAACCAGCCAACAGACGAACGAACCGTACGTAATACGTACATAGCAGAGCTTGCAAAACTGTGTTTTTTTTTTTGTCGACAACACGAACGTTGTCAACATAACTCACAGGAAATCCAAAATGCTTACACACCGGCGACTTCATTGAAACAGGAGAGGGTTTAAGTTCTGTCGACTGGTCTCCTGCTTCTGCAGTTAAACAAGCACTTCAACAAGCCTGTTTTTTTCCCAGCTTGGCAAGCCAAGCTGACGTGACATGGGGGCGTGGCAGCATCGACAATTCTATTTTTGATTCGATAATCGAAATTGAGCATAAATTTCGATCGATTTCGATTAAAAAAATCAAAATCGTGACACCCCTAATAATTTGTAAACTAATTAGATTCATTTTCGAGTAAAAATGGTGACGTGTTAAATACTTGTTAACCAAAAATGTTTATGGTAATTTATATATATTTTAATAGTTTAGTTAGAAAGCATAAGTTTACTTTCGTAATCGACTTGAAACACACATTTACCGGAAGGAGTGATAGCTTGCCCTACTCATCGTTCTTTCTTCTCAAAGCCATACTATGTATATAAGTATTACATAACTACAATACACTGTAATATAGCCTAGTTGGGTAGTTATTATTTTCTCACTACAATCAAACCGCTCCAGATTTCATTTCAACCGAGCTAAGACCATCATATTCAGACAATCGTGGAAAAATTGTTTTGGTGCAGAAAGCACTCTTAGATATCTTTGCAAGCCCGAATCATTCTGTGAAATGGTAGGTACATTAAACTGCTTTGTTTACGGGTTTGTATGTGTGTAGCACTAGTTCTGGTTTCCCTTTGTGGAATGACAATACAAATACTGCAACCTGCAGGTATAGAATAACACATTCTCTCACACAGGAGCAGAACATATGTTCTCACTTCAGTCCGCAGTCTTCCACTTGGTGTGTTCATGCAAAGCT